CTGCGGCATCCATGGGGCTCACGTATTATGAAGGACCTCTTGCATCTCCTCCAGCTGGGATGAGCAACTGGGTGTAGTCCTTTGGTGGCGGCTCCAGCCTCCAGAAGTTCCTGGTGGCAGGACTGAGGCGGATCTAAGCTGAGGGATCATCCTGTGGCCTGAGGGAGGGCTGGAGGCCGAGCTGTCTGTTCTGGGAGGGGAGGAGCGCAGAGGGGAGCACAGGGAAGACCCCCAAAGAGCCGGCCCGCCCTTTAGGGGCCCCGCCTTGAGCTCCCAGGGCCAGGTGGTGTGACTCCAGTGGCACACAAAACTCTCTGTGGTCACTCATTCCTCTCGGCCCTGGGCAGGTGCAGAGGTCTGGACAGCAACAGGCGTTGAGAACCAGGCTGAGTTCCTGCGTCGCTTCTGCTGGGGAGAATCCCCGCCTAGTAGGGAAGTCAGCTCCTATCTCACAGGAGGAGTCCAGCAAAATCTGACTGTTTAGCCAAAGGGCCCTAAGTAGCCTTCCAGGGACAAAGCTCCCTGTGCCCTGATGCGTGCCTGGGCTCCCATAGAGAACGGACTTCAACGATGGTCGGTTCTTATTGCACCCAATGAAGGGTTGAAAGTGGTTTCATGTTTGCAGGAGCGACAGCAATCAGCAGCCTTCCTCAGCCCAGTCGATTCAGGGGCAAGCAGCCCTGAGACCCACAGGTCAGGCAGAAAATGCTTAACTGTTAAGAAACCTGGCCGGGGGGGGGGGAGACTTTGGCTAAAATCTATCTGCCAAAACCCTGTTGTGTACCAGAAGCAAAGTGATGTGTTTTGGTCCATTCCTGGCCAGTAACCACAGAGCCTCTGCTGTGATTCTCAGGGGCGCATGTCTGCGCAAGACTTAATTCATGACCAATGGGACCAAAATGTCACTCTGTGGCCGGAGCTCTGGGATATCCTTCGTCCCTGGCTTTCCGCAAAGCCCAAAAAGGGGTCTCCTTTTTTTTTTCCCCTGACACTGCCTGCTGGTTTCTGCACGTTGTCCCTCCTTTGAATGATGACCCTGCTGTAAACCTTTGGAAGCCAAGAAAATGTCAGCCTAGAACACCACTTGGCATGAATTGGCTTCTAATGAGCAGCTGGAGTGACTGAAGAACGAGTCAACCTGGGCAGGCTTCTCGTCTGTCCAGCCTTCCTTCCAGCTGCCAGTTGCTCACCAGCACCAGATGTTAGGTGGGGCCAGAAGACGCCACCTCACGAGTGCCTCCCTTTGGCTGTGACTCACCCGTTCCTGGCCTCTCTCCGTCTGGTGCTGGATTGCCAAGGCTGCTCCAAGGATATGCATCAGCCAGAGGATCAGCTGGGGCAACAGGAGAGCAAAGCACCCCCTGAAGAGAGTAGAATTCAGGGCTCTGTGCTCTGGAGGTGGTGCAGTTCTTCCAGCTGTAAGTGTTTTCCCCATGTCTTGCCCTCTGTTGAGGAAGGATGGCCCTTCAAGCCTAGCTCCTGTCCGCTGGCTGGGAGTTGCAAGACAGAACGCAGTTAAAAACCCAAAACAAAACAGTAGAACTTAATGGCCTTTGAAAGCAGAGAGTCGCCAGCGCATAGTTATATGTGTGAAGCAGGCCTTTCAAAGTAGTCAGAAAGCTACTCTTTTAGAGTTCTAAATAGACATTTCCAAAGCGAGCAGGTGCAGGAATGCATGAAATAAAAATAACTTCCGGAAAGCAAGTATTTCATCAGGAAACACAAGGGGGGGGGGAGGAAGGCATGGGGCTTTAAAGACTAGCTGCTTTACAGTATTTTGATGTAAGGTTTCACGGAACATGGTTCACTCCTTCAGACATATGAGCAGCCATCCTGCGACAAGGGCAGTGCAGGTTTCTCGGATAGGCTGTTTAGACAAGTGATTAAGAAATCCTTTATCTATTACAACACCTCTGTTTGACACGAGCCAGTGAATGAAAACTGGCTCATGTCAAAACGGGCTCACTATCCGCTCCGATGCCCCATTGTGGACACTTGCTTGGCGCTTCCACACTTTCTCTTTCCCCTCAGTTCCGCTCTTAAAACATAAACAAGTGAACTCCTTTCTTCAGTGAAGCTCCATCCAGAGTTCATGATCAGTCTGACATAGACCTGTCATTTCTGGGGAAGGTTTAGAAAAAGTGTTTCTTTGCCAAGTGCGATGCAAGGCAGCTATGCTTTGGCCGCAATACAGGAAATACATTCACAGCCTATAATGAAAACAACAAATCCAGTAACAGGTTCTAGGATTTCTCCCAACCACCGTTACACATTTGGCGCCCATGACCAGAAATCAATTCAGAGGATTCCCCCAACTGCTGTAACTGGTGGAATTCACGCTGTCTTATTTTGACACCAATAGCAACGGCTCCAGATTTATTTGCGTATGTGCAACAAAAAAATAATTGATTAAAATACAGACTCTGCCTTGCTGAGCTAAAATTATACTGAGTTTCTGCATGGCCACATGAGCTGCAGAATCAGTGTCAGCATGGAATGCTAGCAAAGCCTGGGCGGTTGCATTCTCAAGCATTTCAAGAGATGCAGAAATATTCTTTGGAGCTTTTCCAAATTCAAAAACTGTCCCAGGAATTATAGCTCTAAATACTTTTCTCCACCAAGAAGCATCATCAGTGCCATTTAATGTCCAATGGATTACTCTCAGTACCAGTAACTCCAGTGACTCTGTAAGTTAATGTGTAGGTAGGGACCAGTGATATTTAACAGTAGTAGTCCTAGAATGAGCTGGAATTTTTAGCATGTATACATTACTGAAACAGCGGCATCTACGTTGGCTTGGGCATGTCATGAGAATGGTTGATGGTCGGATTCCAAAAGATCTCCTGGATGGAGAATTAGTGCAGGGAAATCTCCCCAGAGGGAGACCACAGCTGCGATACATCTGTAAGTGGGATCTGAAGCTCTTAGAAATGGCCCTCAACAGATGGGAAACCTTGACCTCTGAGCGTTCAGCCCGGAGACAGGCGGTGCATCACAGCCTCTCCCAATTTGGAGCGGCCCTTGTCCAGCAGGCCGAGGGAAAGAGGCAGCCCTGAAACCAGCAGAATCAGGGAGATGGACAGGGGACAGATTGTATTTGTCTTCAGTGTGGAAGGGATGGTCCCTCTCGAATTGGCCTTCTCCGTCACACTAGATGCTGTTCCAAGTCCTCCATACAGAGCACGATACCATAGTCTCTCATAGACTGAAGGATGCCTACAACTTTATATGCTTTATTTCCACAAATAAAATATAATATAATCCAGGTGTTCTTAAAGGGAGCAACCAGTAAGATAAAACTCTGGAGCACTGATGAGAGAGATCACATTGACAGATCAATTTTTCCCACTGAATTCGATCAGAGAAGTTAGCAGTAAACTTATTACAATCTACTATCAAATCATTCTTTCTTGTTTCTAAATTCCTCATAATCTGAATGTTGCCATGAAAGGGGGAAGGCATCTAAAATAGGATTTTGAATAATATACCCACTTTCGTTGCACATAAAAGATATGTCATACTGAGGATTAAACATACCTCCATTAGCTTTAAATTTTGAACGGTTGTTCCCAAGGGAAACCTAATTTGCCCAAATGGTTATGCTTACCCCCATTGCATTTGCAGTCTGTGATGTTGGCGCATGACCCACCTCATTTTTAAAAAAACAAAAAAACTTATACACATTGAGAAACTTGTGTTTGGATGTTATTTGCACAGCCTGCAATAGAGTCTGGAATAGAGAATGGAAGTCAGTTAGGGAATTGCAATGCAGGGTCCATCAGTGTTGACTTGTAGTTCCACAACAGTTATGCTCACCTGAACCAGGCTGCGTCTGCATGTGGGTGGGTGACCACACAGCGGTACTGTCTGCTACCTAAAGCGTTGCCCACTGAAGTTCTGGGCAGTCCCAACAGCCTTCAGCATGGAAGTGGAATCTAGAATCCTGGATTTGGAAGGGACCTCCGAGGCCATCAAGCCCGACCCCCTGCTCAAGGCAGGGATCCCAGTCAATTCAGATCTGATCGAGGGTGGCCCAGTTTTCTCTTGAAGGCTTCTCTTGAGTGCCTATCTCCTGTTCCATGTGACATATAAGCAAGGAGGCCAGCTTGGAAGTAATTCCAGTGTGCTCCAACTAGGCAACACGAGGTGGGCTGTTCATACCCTCCTCCTTCAGCTCACAAAGTGACCAGCGCTCCTCAGAGAGCACGGGGATCAGCGGCCAGGGTCACCTCCAATGCAGGCATTACTTAGACAGCCTCTCTTGTCCTGTGTAGGTGATGCTAGGTCTCAACGGTGAGGTAAAAACCGTCCATTCAGAGACCACACATTGGACATGGGAGAAGGAAGGCTCTGCTAACTGCTGGTCAGCTGCCTTCCTTCAAAAGATACGGATGCTCTGCCCAACGGCGGTGGCTCTGCCCATTTCCCGGCTCTTGGGCAATGATATCATATCAGTTAGTGATGTTCTTCTGTTCCTGGATAGTTAATGGGGTTTACTTTATATTTGACAAATGTGCATGGATCATGGTGACAGGCATGAAATTAGAAAAATCCTTGAATGCCCCCCAATATAAATAGCTTTCGGAACTGAAAAGGGTTTCACAGCCGACAATTTGATTGTGTGGGGAGGAAAAGTTGTTGCCATTGACCCCTGGCCCCCTCCCCACCTATTCTTCCCCCCATCTCTGCAATGCCTTTCTTCTTTGCAAAGCGTTTGTCTGTGCACAAAACCGATACTGGGGAGCCCCGTGAGGCTCATGGGAATAAATTTCAGGTCGAATTAGTACAGTTTCCTTGCTGTCAGGATGGTGGAATTAATGGTGTTTTGATGACACAAATTTTGAAGGGTGAACAAAAAGCGGGAGGGGAGGGAGACCTGACTCCTTAGAAGCCTGGACCTCCCCTCCCCCAGCTCCTGTTGTCCCTGCTGTCATCCGTCTGCCAATCTCCCTGTCCATGGTGAGTTAAAAGCGCTTTTTATCCTCTCTTCTTTCCCACAGAGTTTGCCAGATCCGGGCCGGTGCCTGGGTTCCAAGGGGAGACGCTGCAGTTGGCCTTCATTGACTTGAGACAAGTACGTCTTTGTGCTCCCCCTTTCTGGGTCCCTTTTAAGATGTGTGACTGAAGACCATCA